GCTATAAAGGGCCTTGGGGGCTGTTTTTGAAATGGTCTTAATAGCCGTATTTCCTGTTTTAAACAAGCAGGTACCACGAACTGCTAAATCATTGTTACTGGGCAGTTAATAAAGGAAAGCTAAGTCAATTAGTTTCTCCCACAACTGACAAAATATCAGAAAAACTGGGAAAAGGGGCAAGGGTAACACACTTTACAAAATCAAGGTCATGTCAACTTTATATGCCCCAACGCTTGTACACAATGACAGAAATATCCTTTCAGAGTATAGATGAACTTCAGATCGCATTTCTCTCCATACGTCTTTACTTCTGGAGCCTTGGATTTCATGACGAAGTCTGCGAAGAGGTCCATCCTGTTTTCTCCCAGGTTGGTCGACTTAAGAAGTAAAGTGAAGTCAAATGCATGATCAATGGATGGTCAAATATCATGGATGTGGCCATACCCGTGGTCAGAAATGTGAAAACCCAAGCGGCTCTTTGAACAGGCCATCAAAAATGACTGGGGCTGATAGAATGAAGTTTTAGGGAGACAAGCTTACAAGTACTTCAACAAGACGTGCAACATGCAAAAGCCAAGCTTTTGTACATCATCAACAGAAGAGGTCTTACTTGACCACACTCAACAGCAGGCTTGGGTGAGAACTTGTAGGGAATAAAGTTTGTTGTCCCAATTCGACAAGAACTTTTTGACTGGGATCAAGATGTTTGACTGCGTTGGGCTGCATCAGGAGTCTGACGCAAAATAAACCGGTCAGAAGGAGATTGAAAGCGATAGAGGATCAAAAGTGGGGTTGAGGGTGTTGGGGTTGGATAAGCCAAGTGGATAAATCAAGAAAAGCAATCGAAAAGTGTGAGCGAGAAAAAACTGAGTTAATTTGTTTTTCGCAAGTAAAATGATGAATTGATATCTTTCATATTGCATTCAAGAAAGCTAAATAAAAGTTCAACTTCGAATTGAATTGACAACTTATCCGTGACATGATGTAATTCCTTCAGCACTTGCAAGACCCCTTTCACCCAGGGATCGGTTAGCTTCAGTGTGCTGCTGTACTTTGTAGTCTTGAGGATCTCGCAGATGAAGGGCACAATATAGTCCAATGATGGAGGGTCCGTCTTGTAGGCCTTATAAATAAGGTATTTTAAGTCCACGCACAAGTGTATGTCCCTGGCAAGCGTCAAACGGCCTAGAAATCCGCCCAGATACTTGAGCACCTTGCCGCTGCTCTGATCAAGGCTGGCGACACTGAGGATTTGGTCGATTTCTCGGGTCAACATTTCAAGGATGAAATTGCAGAAATTGTTGCAATGTACAGAAGTCAAGTTGACAAACTCCGCGTAGAGCTCATGCAATTTGGGCTCGCTTGTCACTCTCTCCAGAATCGACTCGGCCAGCCATCTGGTGAAGTGTGGCGACATGATTGACATCACCTCGTCCACCTGTCGTTTCAGATTGCATTCGCTGATGTTGTTCATAATAAAGCAGATCTTTTTAATGATACGCTCTGGAGGCGGGGTGCTTTTGGTCGCCATTTTGAGCTCCATTTTGGGCTCCATTTTGGGCTCCATGCAAATCCTCTTGTCGGCTGGAAAGGATAGATCCTGAAAAAATTAACGCCGAAAGAAGACCTTTCAACGCTTCTAGATGGGGCCTGACAGCTGTTTGCCCACCACCGAGCTCCCATTCTGTGCTCGGTTCAGGGCGACTTTTTGAAATTTCTCATTCTGCTAACCGATCGATCAGGGACAGTAGCCTCCAGCTGGCGGAAGATTCTGCAAGCGAGTTCAGATACAATACCATCTGAGTCAGACTGCCGATTAATCCGACAGTGAAAAAAGGCTGTCTCATTCGAGAGTCGTGTGGACGAGGTCGAAAGTTGAGCACCGGCTAGTGATCACTTATTAGTTACACTACTTATTGACTACAATCAGTAGTATGACTGACGATTAATTTGGGGCACTCTTATTCTGAGTTAGGCCTTGTCATAAATGAACACCACTTTTATAAAACTTTTTAGAGGGAGGA